AAAGGAGGAAGCAGGGAAGAGGGAGAAAGGAGGAAGCAGGGAAGAGGGAGAGAGGGAGAAAGGAGGAAGCAGGGAAGAGGGAGAGAGGGAGAAAGGAGGAAGCAGGGAAGAGGAAGACAGGGAGAAAGTACAGAGAGGAAAGAGGGAGAGAAGGAGAGATAGGGGATGCAGGGAAGAGGGAGAAAGGAAGAAACAGGGAAGAGGAAGAGCGGGAGAAAGGACGGAGAGAAGAGAGGGAGATGGGGAAGCAGGGAAGAGGGAGAGAGGGGGAAAGGATAGAGAGGAAAGCGAGAAACAGGTAAGAGGGAGAATCAAGGAAAAGGAAGAGAAGGAGAAGGGACGGAGAGGAAAGAGAAAGAGAGGGGGTGAGAGGGAAAGAGGGAGAAAGGGGACATCAGGGGAGAGGAAGAAAGGGAGAAAGTATGGAGAGGAAAGAGGGAGAGAAGGCGAGATGGGGGAAGCAGGGAAGAAAGAGAAAGGAGGAAGAAGAGGGAGAGAGGGAGAGGGGGGAAAGGAGGAAACATGGGAGGAAGGGAGAGAGGGAGGAAGGAAGCAGGGAAGAGGGACAGAGGGATAAATGGGTAACAGGGAAGAAGAAGAGAGGGAAAGAAGAGGAAGAGGAAGAGAGGAAGAGAGGATAAACGAGGTAGCAAGGGTGAGGAAGAATTAGGGAAGAGAAAGAGGAGTAATACGTAGCAGGGAAGAGGAGAAGAAAGAGAGAGGGAAAGAGAAGGAGAAAACGAAGCAGGAATGGAGAGAAGAAGAGGAGAGATGAAGAAAAAGAGAGAAGACAAATACGGGAATGGGAAATGGAAGAGGAGGAAGAAGAAGAAGAGGAGGAAGGAAAGATGGATTGGGAAAAGGAAGAGAAGAATTGAAGAAGACGGAAAAAAAGAAGAGAAGTACAATGGAATAAAGTAGAGACGGAGAGAGTAGGAGAAGGTAAATGTGAATGAAATCTAGTAAATGAAAGAAATAGAAAAAAAATGCACAATTCAAGAAAATGGTGAAAAGTTGAAATGTGAAGACGGTGAATAGCATAGACGGAGAAGAAAAGAACTACGAAGAGGAGCGAAAGGAGAGAAAGAAGAGAGGAAGAGAAACGGGAAGGAAGAAAGCGATCAAGAGCTGAGAAGGAAAAGGGAGAACGATGAAAATAAGAGGAATATAAGAAAGGGGAGATAATGTAAAGAGAAAAATGAGAATATATGGATAGTAAGAGAGAAAACAAGTCAAAAGAAAGAGACGTGATAAAAAAAAAGTGATTAAAGAACGACAGGAGAAAAAATAAATAGATTTCCAAGAAAAAGTTGATAAATTTAACTATAAGACTGATTATGAGAGAGAAAGAGAGGGAGGGGAGATACTAAACGTGTGTGTGTGTATGTGTGTGTGTGTGTGTGTGTGTGTATGTGTGTGTGTGTGTGTGTGTGTGTGTGTGTGTGTGTGTGTGTGTGTGTGTGTGTATTTGTGTGTATTTGTGAGTATTTGTGTATTTGTTTGTGTTTGTCTGTGTGCATGCGTGTAGTAGCGGACAGCCACGTTATCCTTGCTATTTTTGACACGTTCATTAGATTAGCTTATGCCGCACCCGGGGACAATCTCGGGATAATTTGTAGCCGTTTCTATTACAGGGTTTGTTTCCCTGGATGTACACTTTGATTTCACTTTCATCGCTTGACGGAGAGGTCTTCCCCACCCCCCCACCCCTCGCCTCTTTTTTTGTACCGGAAATAATTTTCTAATTAACTTTCAGGAGAGAAAATTGATGTCGTTCATTTACAGAAAACATCATCACGTTATTTATTTACAAATATGTTTTATATTTTACACGCATCTACTCACTCTTGTGCTTCCTCGCCAGGTTGAAATGACCGGCAGTAGCGTGTTCGACTACATTCACCAGCAAGACCACCAGGAACTTGCTGACCAAGTAGGTCTGACCTTAGCCACGGGTCAGCCTTTGCCCTCCCCCTCCTCTTTAGGGTCAGAGGAAGGGGCAGCAGGGTCACAGGGAACTATGAACCCTGACGGTAAGCCTCCATGTAAGTACACTAACCGTAATAACTCAACACTCACTTGTCGCGGTGGTGGGAATGCATAGAAAACGGGAAACAGGCAAAGGGGGTGTTAAAAAGAATCATTTTTTATACGGCAGTTTTGTGAATTTGAGATGGTTATCGCTTTCGATTTGTTTTTATATAACCTGTCTGTTTATTTTTTTTACCTTCATTTGTATGTTGTATGTTTAAAGATCATCAAAATGATAAAACTGCCTTGATTCATTTGTCTCCTACCTGTTTACGGGTTCTGAGGGTATGTATTTTTAAGTGTATACAGAGAGAGAAAGAGAAGAAGAAGAGAGAGAGAAAAAAAATATATGGATTACTAAAACAGTTGCTACTAAAACAATAATACATTTTCTGTGCGATCTGCTGGTCGGAACGATACTGACAGTGACGTAATATCGATGATTTTAGTTGTTAGCATATGAGTGAGTGTCGGAAATACGGTGGTGTGTTAGCCCTACGTAGATAAAGATGTCGTTTGATGTTCGTTTGAAATTTCTTTGACGATGGAATGTCTCGTGATGTTTACAAGTAGATGCATGACGTTATTTTTTTTTTTTTTATCAAAACGATGGAAGTACTGTCATGTTTACATTCAGAGATTGAAGATTGTTTGAATGTCTCTAAAATTAGATTTGCTCTTTGTTTAGTTGTGTTTTATGTAGACGTAATTTGAATATATAAAGATTATCATATTGGAGTTTTCTAGGTTTACGAATCTTTTATATGTATACATATACATATACACACATACATATGTATATTTGTGTATATATGATAATATATACATATACATATATACTTACATATGTATATGTATATATATACATATATATATACATATATATATACATATATATATATATATATATATATATATATATATATATATATATATATATATATATATATACACACATACATATACATGCATACATACATGTCTATATATGTGTATATACATATATATGTATGTATATATATATATATATATATATATATATATATATATATATATATATATATATATCTTTATATATATATATATATATATATATATATATATATATATATATATATATATATATATATATATATATATATATAATAAATACATATATATTATCATATACATGTAAATACACGAAATTGGAAATGATACCGCAATTCGCTCAACGATTACGATTCATTCAGGAAATGACACGATGCCAAACTTTTCAGCCAGCAAGTGTGCATGGACAATTGTTCAGTAGTTCAGAACAAACTATACTGGATTGTTATTTCGTTTTTTTTTTATCTTTGCTTGTATCTGCATGGATAATAGGTCCCTTTTTAGCTATGTGATTTGCAATATGTTGGCGTGTATGTCTTTTTTTTAAGCATGTGCGAATGTTTAGAGTTAAAGTGTGTCAAATATATTGATCTTTAGTGAAATTGATTAGTTAATGGGAAGTCAGCTGAATATTGGAGTGATCATTATTTCAAATAGGACGATTGTACATATGTTTTTAAGTAGCCTTACCAATTATCTTCAGTATTTTTATTATTCATCTGTTATGTCGAGCGAAAGCCTAGTACGTTATATTAGCAGTATAACGTATGGTGATACATAAATCTTATTATTGCTATTAGTATTGTTAATAATTTCTGTCATCAGTTTAGACTCTAATTCAAACCACTACAGTTATTTTGATGGTCAAATTTTTATTTATCTACTGAAGTTGATGTAGTTATTAGTATTATCCGATATTCCTTTTTCTATACAATATTAATGCGACAGATGGAAAAAGAGGTGAAAAAGACAAATCTATTGGAAAAAAAAACAATTTTAACGTCATTGATACTAATTACCGCTCCATCCGTGAATAAATCAGCCTAGTTATTGTCCAGCATTACTTCAAATATAAAGTTATCGGGGTATTTGTTGACTAAAATCTTCTTGCATGACCCTCGCCAAGAGAACTTAGACCCATAACCCTCACCGCCGTCGTCTCCTTTCCCCCCCAACCCCGCAGTGGCTTCATCCATGTCCATCTCCAGCGCCTCCATGTTCAAAGGCTTCGATCGGGCCTTCTGCATCCGCATGAAGTCGACGCTGACGAAGAGAGGCTGCCACTTTAAGAGCTCGGGATACAGGGTAAGTTATAGATGTTATATATATTTGGAAGTTTAGTGTTTGAATGGATTGTCGTAAGGAATTTGGGGTTTGTGTATTCTGAAATAGCTTTGATGGCGATGGACGATGGAAGATGGACGGATTTCACCCGTTTTCTTTCTGATTTGGACTCGGTTTTCTTTGATCGAGCTGAGCTTTGTTGGGGGTAACTCAAGTTTTTTTTAACCTAGTTGTTCTGACAGTTGCCTGTTGGAACCTAAATTCCATAGCATAACCCCACAACAAAAAAATACATTTCCCCGCCCACAATGGCGTTCTAAACATACTAATCCCATGAACCGAATTTTCAGGTTGTGTTGATCCTGGGACACCTACGACCACAGTACGTGTTCAGCCACTCCCGCAAGAACCCCCCTCAGCTGATGGGTCTTGTCGCCCTGGCCATCGCCCTCCCTCCGCCGTCGGTGCACGAAGTCAGGCTCGAGTCGGACATGTTCGTCACGAGGATCACCTTCGACTTCAGAATAGCACACTGTGAACCCAAGTAAAGAAAGATTTTTTTGTCCTGATGCCTTCGTTTGTATTAGGGTTGACTACGTTGCAACAGGCCCTTCGATTTTTTTCTTTTTTTTTTACCGAAAACAGCTTTTTGTTGTTTTTTAACCAATATAGACTATATAAGAAGGCAATATAGACTATATAAGAATTAGCTTACTTCGTTTCATTCCCTTTTTTCTCAAGTAACCTATCACTAAAAAAATATATATAAAATAAAAAACTAAACAAACAAAAATAAATCATATGTCCCCCCAAAA